GGATTTGAACCACCAGCCTTCTGGTTAGCAGTCAAGTGCCTTAGCCACCCACTATGGGGGTTCTAGAGGGTCTCAAAATCACACGTTCAAAAACAAGTTCATCTTTCCCCCAGACTAGCCCACCTGCTGTGTCTTAGATGGTTAATGGCCCCACTCAACCCTGTGGCCAGAGCTGGAGCACTGTCCCCTTCTTCCTGCTCCATGTGGTGGCTGTGTCCACTCCCCACATCTGGTTAGGGGGTAAGCTAGCGTGGGGCCTCTCTGGCAGGGCACGGGGGTCCCAGCCCACCCCACACTCCCCACAGCAGCATCTTCGCAGGGATGTGAACGTGTCTGCCACCGGCAAGAGAGGTGGTGCAGTGAGGGTGGAACGCCCATCATGATCACAGGGGACTTGCCACGAACTGTTCAGTTTGTGTTTTCCACAAGGGTAACACAGTTGCACTTTCACCCGCATGATGGTAACGAGCCAGACCCACTAGCTGGCCCCAAGCGCCCTCCCAAAAGACTCACCCAGCCCGCCGAGGCTCCAGCAGGCTCAGCAGGACCTGCGTGCCGCACACCAGGCAGCTCTCAGTCTGGTCACCGTCAAACATGTTCCTGAGCAGTTGCTCCACGCAGCCCTGCCTGTCAGAAACACTCGTGGTTGCTCCAGGGCACTGGCCACACCCGGAGCCTAGAGGACAGCCAGGAGAGCCCGTCACAGTGACACAGCTCTGGGTCTGGGGTGGCAGCTCCCACTGAAGCAGCCCGGAGTCCCCCTCCCCTTGGGTGGCACTCACGACTCCAGGGCTGTGAGGAGGGGATCAGGCTCCACAATCTCCTGCAGCTGACCACTCTGGTCTCTGCCCAGCCGGACAATGTCACAGAGTGTCTGAGACGCATTGGACTGCCTCTGCGGGAACAAGGAGCCAGTGCCATCAGCAGCACAGGGCACGGAGGCTCTCAGGAGCTGGGAAGGTAGACAAACAGCCTTCGGAAAGACAAGTGCCTCCTAGCCAGGCTCCTCGAGGCCTCAGACCGACAAGTTCATGTGCGAGAGGTCTAAGCCTGCCCTTCCCCTCATCAAAGGTGGTCTGCTTAGACTTTTCGGCTGTGCAGGGCAGTGGTGAGACATGCTATGTCAGTGTTGGTCTCTCCCTCTAACAATGTCCTGAGGTACTGATAACTGGCTTTAAATTTAACAGCAAATCACCGCTCAGCTTCATGAGTCATGGAAGCTGAAGAAGTGGGGGGCATTGCTGCAGGAGAAGCAACTCTCCCAGGAGAGTGGGATGCCGCCCGCACATGTGGACTGCAGGAGGTGTCTAGCCATGTTGGGTGGCTTTGCAGAGAATAACCCCCCAAGAGCAGGTGCCCCTAGAGAGTTAGCGGTGCATCCACTACCACGAGTGTCCTCACGACTCCTTGTAGGGCAGACAAAGCCACTCACAGGAAACAGAGAGTAAACCGCCAAGTGTGGGGCAGCCTGACCTCAGCCACAGGTGCTGCCACCGCCCTGCTGGGACTGCTCTCTCACACACGTGCACACTTCCCTGAAGGCCACCCGATTAGAGACAAGTCCCAGGTGGCGACACTGGACCGCTGGAGCAGCAGCGACCCCCACACAGTACTCACATCCTCCTCCTGACCTGGGTGGATTAGCCCCACGAGCCGCTCAATGACCTTCTCTTCATTAAGCCACTGAAAGGGAAAAACAGCCAGGTCATGTCCAGGCACCGCCCACTGAGTGAGGGTCAGCTGGCTGTTGGCCCACTCCAAGGCATATCTGTACCTCTGCCACCCTACCCCTCTCAGAATAGGATGCCACAAAGGCCACCGTAGCCAGGTTCCAGCCCTCCCTCCACGTGTCTAACTCCTGTCCCTCCACAGCACGCGACTCCTACTCACACCCACACCAGGCCTCCAGGACAGAGGCAACAGCTCGGGGGTACCCTGACCACCTTTGATCCCCTGCACTCACCTTTCTGAAGGCCCCCAGCTCAGCCCTGGCTCCACACATTGTCAGCCCACCTCCCCGGGCCAGCATGGGCCACATCTTGTCAGCCCCAGCCGTCCAGGGCCCTGTAGCTGGCTGGCCTTCTTCCTTGCTAGGACCTGCTCCTACATTCAAATGGGGAATGACAGCAAGGATGGACAGGGCAGCCTCCACTGCCATCATTAACCCACGTCTGCCACGACTCACCAAGTGGGAAAGGCTGCCGTGGGGCTCAGCGGGAGCTGACAGTTACTTCCAGAGGGCCACAGCAGCCCTGAGTGCCCCAGGTGTTCTGAGCATGCATCAACATGAGGCCTAGCCCTGCTACTGGACATTACAGCAGGGGCTGGCCAACTAGGCCAGTAGTTATAGTTGCCTGCTGCCCGCTGCTACAAATAAAGCTTTACTGCAACACAGCCATGCCTACTCATTTGCACACTGTCTCTGCTTAGTCTGCAGTCTAAATGCTCACCATCTGGCCCTTTGCTGTGTTGAGGGGCTAGTGCTCCCCTCAACACCGCTCTGCTCTGAGCTTAACTCCAGAGCTCAGATATGACAGCACCAGGGGGCAGCAACAATGCATCGCTGAACAGAACGTGCCAAAAGGAAGGAGGGCTTCGAAAGAAGACTGAATGTGAAAACCCCACACTTACCAGGATGTAGCCCATCAAGGTGGCAAAGGTCTTTACATCATTACTGGGAAGAACAGTTGCCAAATTACAACCATGACTGCAATGTTACCATAACACCCCCACGGCCACTGTGGTACCAGAGGACAACCCCCATGGCTGCTGGGTTACCACAGGACAGCCCCTCTGCCACTAAGTTACCCTCACGGCTACCGAGTTACCACAGGGCAGCCCCCACAGCCACTGCTTATGATCACAGCCACTGCTACTAACAAGCTGAGTCCTGAAGGGGAGAAGTGGAGAGTGAACTGCTTGGCATCTGTGATAGTTAAGTTTGTGTGTCAACTTGGCTGGGCCTGGTTGAATGGCTGGGCAGCTGGATGTAGTATTCCCCATGATGAGACTGGTAATCAACTCCAGTTGGAATCTACTGGAAGCAGCTGAGTAGCTGCCTGTGGGTATGTGGTCTGCTTCCTGTACATAAGGAGAAGCTTTGAGAATGGTCTCTAGCCTGTGGCACGCTTGGACCCTGCATGGAGCCACATTGTTGCTCAGCAGCCTGCTATGCTCTGCCGACCTCAGGACTCCCAATGGACTTAAGTCAATGGCCTTCAGTGTGGTTTGGTAACATCGGGACTGTGCCTTTTTACTTGTCAACGTTGGGGTTTCTCAGCCTTAGCAGCCTGCAGCTGTCTGAGTAAAGAAACACCCCTAGCTCCAGTGGGCCAGGAGCAGGAGGCAGAGCTGGACCCCAAGGTTGAAGGGCTTTCACCCAGCCCCTAGAGCCTGGCACTCTGAACTTGGACTTAAAGCCTCCAAATTTAAGAATAAACTCCTTGCAGTGTAGTAAATTACTTAGTATGGCTTTTCTACCCATGTTGTTATGTACCATTGAGTCGGACCCGACTCATAGTGACCCCTCCTTGGGTTTCCGAGGCAGTATCACTACGGAAGTAGATTGCCCCATCTTCCTTCCGAGGAGTGGCTGGTGGGTTTGAACCGCCAGCCTTCTGGTTAGCAGTCAAGTGCCTTAGGCACTATGCTACCAGAGCTCCCTTAAGTCATACCCATAAGTCATTGTAAATTCAGTGGTGGAATGAGCAACTGAGGAGCTCCTGATTGTAAATGTTATCCACCTGGGTTATTTCTGTTGGGCGTGGCACAACAGCAATGTTATGGGAGGCTCACTCTCAGGTGCTTAGAATTCTGTTGTTATGATTGGTTGGTTTGGCTACTCTGCCAAGCTCAAAAGGAGGCCTCCTAGAGGCAGAACTCTTTCTGACTGCTAGTTGAGGAAGAAGTGCTGCTGAAAGAGACACGGGCTCCTGAGACACGTGTTGCTGGGAAAGAGACGCAAGAGACGCGCGTTTCTGAGTAAGACACCGAGGGACATGCACTGCTGGGGGAGAGACTGTGAGAGACTTGGCTGAGAGACAGTGGGCTGGGAGAGAGACTGAGCGTTTTTTCCTGAACTTGAATTGTAGCCTGGTGCTTCCCTAATAAACCCCATAATCTGTGAGTTCTGCAGTGTGGCCACTGCAGCGAATTATCGAACCCAGGAGAGAGGTGGTGGGTGCTTTGGGAGGAATGGTTGGTGAAAGGGCTGGAGGGAGGCAGTATTTCTGGCCTTGTAGTAATAGGCCTTGGGCTATTGATGGTGATTCTGCCTTCCTCTTGTGGGGTTCTAGCAGGTCAGAACATGTGGCCTCCTTGCCCTTTTTGCACTCCTGTTTGTTAAGACCATCCCATTTGTGGTATATTCTTGTCAGAGTGGCACTAGGTAACCACAACAGCATCCAAGCCCATCACCCCAGGCCCATGCAGGCCCAGAGAGGCAGTATATTTCCTTCCCACCCCGCTCAAGGTTAAGGCCACAGAAGCCGTGCTGGCCAAAGGGACAGGGCAGCAGTGCTGTGTGTGCACTCTTAAGAGTTGGCTGGAAGCTCCCTTCCCATCCTCTCTTGTCCCTGTCACAGCCATTTGTCTACTCAGAGGGTTCCAGAGGGAGATGCTGCAGAACCCTATGGGCCTGAGGCCCCAGGTGGTGGGTGAAAAAGGACCATAAGCATGAAGCCCTGGAAGTATTTTGCCACAGCACAGCCTAGACAGTCTTGACTAAGTCCCCACAGGCCTGCTTTCTGTAAGCCAGCGAGGTGAAGCACTGGCCCTTGTCCTGCCCGGAAAGGCAGGCACTGACTGAATTTTGGAGTGACGCCGTTTATAAATGGAGAAGCACCGCCATGGTGAGGCAAGCACACATAAGCTCTGTCTGTAGGACGTATCTTGGAAGACCAGGGTGCACATGAGCCAGAAAGAACTAGAGACCCAACACCTCCATCCAAGTGCCCAGATGACGAGATGTGAGTCCCAGACTGTCCCACTTCATAGCCATCTAGGGCCAGGCCAAGAGCAGCAGAAACACTTGGGGTGTGGTAGAGACCAGGTCTGCTTCTCGTAGAGAAAGGGAAGCCACTCTGCTCTGTACCCCTGGAGGCCCAACTCTGACCACAAACCCTCAACAAGGGTCTTACAGTGCCAAGGCAAACACACCCTGGTGGGAGAGCTGGGGGCAAGGGGCAGGGTCCTCAGTGGCTTCCCTAGCCCCTGGGCTGCTTCTTCCTGGGCACTTGCTGCATGTGCTCAGGACACAGCCCACCCCTGGGGGGCCTGCAGGCAGTGAGATGTTCCGCCGATGGCCATGAAGACACAGCCAGGGTAGCTTGAGGACCGGTGTGGCACTCACATGGAGGACCTCCTGCCGGAGGCTGGCTGGCTCCACGCAGCTGACCAGCCGCAGCAGCAGGTCCATCATGGCTGAGGTGCCGAGGTGGCGCAGCACCAAGCCGATGAAGTCCTCCTTGCTCTTCAGAAATCCAATCACCTGAAACCAGACGTGCTGTCAGCGAGCAGGGACTGCAGGGATAGCAGGCACCAGCTCCTCTCCAAGAATGGAGGGCCTCACACAGCAAGGATGGAAGATATAACACAGTCCAGAGCACCTGAGTGCTGTCAGGGAACCCTGACAGGGACAGGTGGGGACAGGGGCTCAGGAAAGCAAGCATGCACGGCAGCTCCTGGCTCACTCGGGGACCCACGCACGCACATCCTTCTGTGAGACAGCATGCTGCACACACAGCAACCACTCAGCACACACGTGCTAAAGTGAACATGCGAACAGCTGAACCAGGGCCATCCATGGATTGTCATTCACAGGCCAGGGCCAGGACACAGGACAGCACAGAGCATGCGAGACAGTTGGCTGGATTCTGTGAAAGGAGAAGAAGACTTGACTTTAGCCTCACTGACGAGAACATGCCACACTTGGCTGGAGAACAGCACCAATGGCAGTGGACAATGAGGCCAGATAACAGGGCACCACAGTGCCCAGAAGCAATATCATGGGCTTCTCAGGAGTTCCTGGGTGAGAAAGTGTGACAGCAAGAGGCTGGGCTGGGATCCACTCTGCATACCTACAAACACAGCCCAGCTCAGCCTGCATGAAGGAAACACCGGCAGTGACCATGCTGCTGGACTAAGAGCTGGGTGGACCTAGTTCTCTGGTGGGGACCCTGGGAACAAAGGAGGTCCACCAAGCTGGGGATCTTGGACTGCACACTTGTGCTAAGGTGAGAAGGAAGGGGAGGAGGAGAGGGGAGATGGGAGGGGAGAGGAAAGGGAGGAGAGAGAAGCTAGGAGGAGGAACAGGAAGGGGAGGAGCAAGAGGGGGATGAGATCTTTGAAAAGAACGAATAAATGCCTAGAGAACAAGAATAAGAGCAAAACAGAGACAGAATGAAACTCATTCATGTCAGACCCTACAGATATCAAACTACAAAAAGATGTTATGAGCAACTTTATATCAATTAATGTGAATTAAAATAATGAGAAATTTTCTTAAAAAAAAAAAAATACTCATCTAAACCAATAAAAGGAAATGGAAAATCTGAACAGCTCTATAACCTTACAAGATGGACAACGCATCACTCAGAGCCTTCCTAAGCAGAAAACTCCAGGCTCGATGGCCTCACCACTGAATTCCACCAGTCAAAGAAAAGTCCTGTACGGACTCTTCCAGGGAACCTAACAGTGGGTTATGTCCCAGCTCATTATATGAGAACATAACACTTTGTAAAAATCTGGTAAGGATGCTGCAAGAAAGAGAAATTACAGGCCAATGTCATGATGACTACAGATACAAAGACTCAGTAACATATGAGAAAGCGCACTATGTCACAGCTAAGATGGGTGTGTTCCAGAATCAATCAGTGTAACTTGCCTGTTAACAGGACAGAGAAGAAAACTCCTATGACCGACTCAACACAGTAAAAAATCTGATAAAATTCTATAGCCACTCATGTCATAAATGCTCAAAGAAATGAGGAATAAACTTCCTTAATAATATTCTTTAAGTATCTATAAAAATCCCTCAAAAAGGCCTGATGGAACCACTGAGACTATGGCCCCTAGCTGCCCTTCAGGTCTGGAATTGAACCCAAACCTGTGGTTTCCAGCCAAACAAAGTACAGGCATGTGAGTTAAACATTTACCTCAAGTAGACACACGCCCTGGAGAGAACAATCATGGGAGAAGGAAGGGCTGCTTATGCACAGGGAGACAGCTCAGGGGGCAGGAGAGTATGGAGGGATAGACACTGGGAAGAGGTAACTATGGGGAGGAAGTGGGAGGGGAGCTGTTGCATTGTGGTAAACTGTGGTCAATGACATGAGACAAAGTATATGTGAACTGCTGTATAGAAAGTGAATTTGCTCTGTAAATCTTCACCCAAATCACAATTAAAAAAAAAAAAATCCCTCAAAAAGCATCATACTTTATTGTAAGATGCTGAAAGCTTTTCCTTGGAGATAAAAACAAAACAAAACAAAAAAAAAACCAAGAAGGTCCACTATCACCACTTCTGTTCAACATAGTACTGGAGGCTCCAGTAAAACAGCAGCCAAGACAAAGACACAAAATGTATGAGAACTGGAAAGGACAAAATAAATTTGTCATAGCAAAAGAAAAGAACATAAAGATAAATTGTTATCAGGACAGCTAAACACGAGGTGGTTGCGGCTGTGGACCCTCAGCAACTCTGCAGGTGGGGATGCCCCCACTGGGCCTCCCAGGCTGTCCTCTCGACAGAAGCACATCGCCAGGGCTCCATCCCCCCTGGAACCACTGGTGGATTCCAACTGCCCACCTTTGCGTTTGGAGCTGAGTGCTTACCCACTGCACCACCAGGGCTCCTATAAATACAAAGTTAATATATAAAAATAAATCACACATCTAAATTACAGTAACAAACTTAGAAATGAAACTTTAGAAAGATGTCATTTATGTAAAACAGCTTGGTGGTTCCTCAAAATGTTAAATACCAAATCACCACGTGACCCAACAACCCCAGTCCTAGGGATGCACCCAGAGACCCGACAGCAGGGACTCAAACAGACCCTAGTACATCCGCGACCCTTACGGCATCATCCACACAGACCCATCTCAAAAGGTTACATGTTGCACAGGCCCATTTATGGAACACCACCGAAATGACAAGGTTTTAGGAATGGAGGACGATAGTAGTTATCAAGAGCTGGGGATGGAAGATGGGTGGGTGTGGCTATGGCAACAAAGCTGTTAAGTGTCTTGACTGTGGTGGTGGACACAGGAACTTACACAGGTGATCTCTCTCTCTCACACACACACACACACACGAGGGCAAATCAAACTGAAGAACATCTGGCAGACCAGAGTGCCCTATCAGTGTGGTGGCTGTGACGTTCCACTACACTGATGGCACCGTGGGAGAAAAGTGGACAAAGGGTACAGGGGACTTCTTTGAATTATTTCTGAAAACTGCATGTGAATCTATAATCACCTTAATGCAAATTTCAATTAAAGAGAGATAGCCAGAATGACATAAAAACATCCAAAGCCTAAGAATAAATCTAAGGGAGAACGCACAAGAGCTCTACATGGAAGACAACAGACTGAGAGAAACTAAGGGAAGCCTCAGGAAACGGGCAGACCATGTCCATGGATGACCAGTCATGAGACTGCGAAGATCTCAATCCCACCCCTCTGACCTACAGTGAGAGTAGTACACACACTCTATAAAGGGCTGGATAAGAAACCCCCAAGCATATGGAAAAAACTATCACTAACTTTATATGGAAAGGAAAGAGACCTCGGATAAGCAAAGCACTACTGAAGAA